ATTAATTATTGAACTTGCATTTTAAGAAATTTTAGATTTATTGTTTTCAAAATTATAATAATTATGATTATGTATTTTAAATGCAAGTTTAAATGAAATTTGTTTTTATGTTTCAGTGAAATATTAAATGATAGTTTAAAGAGAAACAGATTTTCAAGAAGATAAGTTGAGTAGCATCCCGAGTTAGTTGCAAAAGATTTCGAAAAAGTTATAAATAGTTTCGAAGTAAAAGTTGCGAAAAATTTACTCTGATAAGCGGGGTGTTACACAACTTGTCTATTGATTTGCCGTGTAATGGTGTGTAAGTGGAATGAAATGTGTATATTTGGTGAGTCGATCAACTACCACCATTATTCCATTAAATACATTCGACTTCGGTAGCCCTTCAATGAAATCCATAGAAATATCCTCCCAAATACGTTTGGGTAAGGGTAGAGATTGCAATAATCCACTCGGTAGGGAATCTAACTTCCCCCGTTGACAAATGTCACTCTTCATTACATAGTCCCCAACTTCACTCTTCTATCCCGACCAATAAAAAGTGTTGGCTATTCGTACTCATATACAGTAGATACCCGAATGTCCTCCGATATTTGACTTATGAAAGTACCTAATGATCTTGATCCTTTATTTATCAGTCTCCGGTACATAAACTCTCCCTTTGGACAACAGTTGCCCCTAATACACATCATAGTCTTGAGTCGTTTCGTCTTGTGATTCTCATATCCTACGGGCCTCGACACATAACGTATCATCCTCGTGGGCTTCCTGTAGTTTATCCCAAATATCCCAAGTTAGTGCGGAAATGGATTGTAGCTCGAAAACATCGATACGGCAGGATAATGTATCTGCTACCAAATTTTGGAGCCCCGGTCGATAGCAAATCTCAAAGTCGAATACCATCAACTTTCATATAAATTTTTATTGCTCCGGTGTCACGATGCGTTACTCCAAAGGATGTTTAAGCGGTTGTTGATCCGTCACAATCCGAAAGTGTCGTCCCAAAAGATAAGGTCTCAAAACTCGAATTGCTTCTACCCCCGCCATTCGCTCTTTGCCAAGGCTTTACTTAAATAAGAAATCGGTCGACCCTCCTACATAAGGACCGCACCCATTTCGAAAGTATCTTATTAGCCCCAAAAATCCTCGCATCTCTGTTACATTCTTCGGTTTTGGCCATCCCTGCATCACCTCAATCTTTGTAGGATCCACTTTCATCCCTTCATAAGATATTATATGACCCAAGTATTCAATTGACTTCTTTCCAAACGAGCACTTCGAAGGCTTTATGTGGAAATCATTCTCCTTCAAAATTCTCAATACCACCCGTAAATTCTCAAAATGTTCATCCCAATTTCTCGAATACACGAGTATGTCATCAAAGAATTCAAAAACAAACTTGCGTAGGAAATTTGAAATATAGAATTCATGATAAATTGACCATCTCGCAATCCGAGTTGGGCAGGACGAGCTGAAAAACTTCATTGTTTACCAGCTATGAAGCTGCTAAAATCGTTGCTCGTCTTCGACCAACTCGCAAGCCGAGTTGGGAGAAGAGTAATAGAACGAGACAATACACATGGAAAAATTCAGATCAATCGAAAATAAAGCATTGGAATGAACATTAAAAACACACGAACAATCGAAAGAGAAAGATAGATTTTGTATTTAAAGGCAAAAGATTACACCATAGGTCGCCTCGACCCTTACAAAAATGGCCAACAGGGGCCGAGGACGACAAAGAAAAAAAAAACAAACAACAACAAGGCAAGCAAACAAACGAAGCAACTAACATGGCCATCAAATATTTAATCTTTGTGAGAATCGGCGGTCGACTTTTCGGCAGCGTCACCATCCCCGTCACCAATAGGTTCAGTACCCGCACCTCCATCCCCCCGACCGGCTCAGTACTGACACACTCATCTCCCCTGACCTGCTCTGTGCCCGGGCGCTCAACCTCGATCTCTTCGTCTAGAGGCTCCTCATTCTCCTCGTCATCCGCACCACTTGGCCCGATCAAGTCGATTGGACCAGTCAAAGGGGAAGAAGGAACCTCAAGCTGC